ACAGCAAACATGTGACAAATGCTTCTCATGAAGAACTGCCTAAGAGCAGTTAGTTAAATAATACATTCGGGTGTTATTTTAATGTTGTTATCTCACAGTGGAGGTTGATTAAACAGGGCCTTGAAGATTCAAAAACTATTATTTTTCCTAATCTGTTTCTGTTTTTCTCCTCTAGGTGCCACCAAAGTTCCGCTACCCGTTCTACTACGAGATGTGCTGGTATGTCCTGGAGCGATACCTCTACTGTCTAACCAACATCTCCCACCTCACTCCTGAGTTCCAAAAATACTCACTAGGCATAGGTGAGAACGGATGAACACAAAAAACATTGCTGTACTTTTCATAAATGAATACATCTCCAACATGAACTTCATCGATCATGTCCTCTCTCTTTTCAGGACTGACCCAGGCTGACCTTGAGACCAGTAACCCCACTGGGAATGGCACGTCCAATGGAGTTGAGCGTGAAACTGAAACCGAGACGGTCAACTTCAAGGAAGAAGAAGTCAAAGAAGAAGAGGCGGCTCAAGTTTTCACACCTCGGCATGTGCTGACTACCTTTGAGCTGGAGGGACTGCGTAACCTCTTAGGGAAGCTGGAGGAATTGCCATCCCACAAAAAGTGTGTCCCTGCTGGCATCAGGAATGCCACAGCCCTGCTCGACGACATGAGGGTGAGTGACGCCTTAGTTCTTTTGTGTAGTTCATCTCACAATTAACTGACATTGGCTACACTACATTCCTTCAATATATATTTAATATTTACTACTCCTTGTTTCTTCTCCTTCTTATCCAGGCTGTTCTGGAGGCACATGCCAATGATAACCCCAAGCTGGCGTACACTGGAGAGCCTATTGTCAAGTGGCCCGAAAGGGTCAGTGGAGAGCACACTTCCAACTAGCTAGGAGTACAGCAGCTTACTTTGGTGTAGAGATGCTGATATCTGAGCCGATATAATTACTGCTTCAATTAGTTTGAACCTTCTTTTCTTGTTGTGTTTTGATATTAAAATACACTGTAAATGTCAGTATGTAAAATAAAATATATGCATTTTTTTTGCTTAGCTGCTATAAAATATATATATATTTTTACATATTATTAGTATAAATTGTTATAGATGATTAAAACCTTCATTCTGGCTGTTCAAACAAGGCACTATCCCATTATGTATTTAAAGGACACAATTCTAACCTACTTTTTCTTTGCCTTTCCTGCTGATGTCACTTATACAGCCAGCATGGTACCAGCCCCCAACTCCCCCTCCCCCCGTCATGTCCCGTCCTCGCTTGGCCCCCACCCTCCACAAGTCTCATGGACAGAGGTCCACCACACGCTCCTCCA